AAAAAAAAAAAAAAAAACCTAAGGAAGATGTTACATTTATAAAAATGTTAGAACCAAGGGCTGAGGATGTAGCTCAGTGGCACCATGCCTGCCTGGCAAGCACAAGGTCCTGAGTTCGCTTCCTGGTACGAAAAAAAGAAGAACCTAACAGAGCTTCAAAATAGGGAGTTCAATCCTGGTCCAAAAAAAACCAAAAAAGGGCTGGGGATTTAGCTCAGTGGTTCAAGGCCAGCCTAAACGATGTAACAAGACCCTGTCTCAAACCAAAAAAAAAATTACTGAAACTACTATAATCAGGAGGAAAAAGGAACATTACTACTTTATGGGGGAAAACAGATGGCAAGGAATACTGTGAACAACTGCATGCCAACAAATACGGTAACTTAGCACAGCAGTCTTGGACCTGCAGCAGCGCTGAGGAGGAGACTCAGAGATGTGGCGTGGGGCAGTTGAGAAAAGAGCTGTGCCCAGCACCCCCCCCTCTCTCCCTGGACTTCCCCCAGCCTCCTCCCTGGCTTCCCTGCCTCCAGTCTCTCCAGTTTGAGACAGGGTCTCACTTCGTAGTGCAGGCTGACCTTGAACTCGCTATGCACCCTAGGCTGGCCTGGAACTCTCAGGAATCCTCCTGCCTCAGCCTCCCAGAGTGCTGGGCTCACAGGCGTACATCACAGTACCCAACCTGTCTTGATCTTTTTGACAAACATATCCTTTCCCTGTTAGAAAAGCAGCTAATAGCCAAATACTGAGTCAAGCAAAAGAAAGAGAAATATTTTTGTGTTGAGGTTCAAGGAAGCATCTAACATGCATATTCTACCTCTCTGGGAACAAGGCTTTAGAAGAGCTTTAGCTGTGTTTTGCTTCTTCTAGTAGGAGGAATGTGGGCTGTTATTCTCCAAGGTTACTGCTGAACAAGAGCCTAGGGGCAGTGATGGCAAACCTTTTAGAGCTTTCAATGCTAACAAACAGCCCACTGCAGCATGCATGCCATACGTAGGTTCGCCACCACTGGCCTAGGGTAAGTTGAAACTCCACAGATCTTGCAGTTTCTATTGAGTCACTTTTTTTTTCCTTGAATAAATACTCACTGAGTTGCTGCAAACCTTTGGTTAATTTCTGGGGTTGTGAAAAGCTGATTCTCATGGGTTGTTTTTTTTTTTCATTGTCTTTATGAAGGTGTGGAACTTTGGAGTTTCTTACTGCGCCATTTTGTTTCATCACCCACATACAATATTTCTTATCACACCTGTTCTCCAGAGCAATCATGCTAGAAATGTACTGTTGTCTTCATCTCACAAGGGAGAAAACTTGTTCTTTCTCTTTGTGTATTACACTGGGAACTGTGAAAGAAACCAAAGTAACTGGTGTAAGCAACATAGCTTATTTTTCACACAAAAGTCTCAAAAGATATAGCAGCATTCCTCTTCAGATGAAGCAGGCTTCTGTGTTCTGGTTGCTTTCCCATTTTTAGGCTGTTGTTTTCCCTGTCACCTTCCATCCATGAAGAAGAAAAAAAAAAGGAGAGGAAAAAAAAAAAAAAAGGAGAGGGAGCCATGCATATTCTTCCAACACATCATCTAGTACAGACATTCTAGCCCTCTTACTCCCATTGGCTGGAAACAATCACATGGTCACATATAGCTTCAAGGGAACCTGGAAATGTAGTCCCTGGTTGTTGCATAGTCATGTGGAAAGCTAAAGTCTCTGTAAGTGTGGAAGCAAGGAGAATAGATTCTGGCATATACATCCCTTTGGAACCACACATTTCCAGGAGGCACAAAGCAGTTTATGGTGATAAACTAGGCATGATGGCACATGCCTGTAATCCCAGCAGTCTGGGAGGCTGAGGCAGGAGGATCACAAGGTTGAACCCATCCTAGGCAACTTAGTGATTCACCAGAATAAAAAATAAAAGGGCCAGGGATTTAGCACAGTGGTTCCACTGCCTGCCTTGAAAGCACAAGGACCCGAGTTCGATCCCCAGTACCAAAAAATTAAATAAATAAATATAAAAAATAAAAATAAAAAAGCTGGGGATATAGCTCAGTGTGAAAGCCCTGGGTTCAATCCCCAGTAAAACACTCACACACATGTAATGATGATCAGGGCCATATGGAGTCATGGTTTAAAATAAAGTTCTGAGTTTAAATCCTCATAAGACCATCTCATGTGCTGTGTCCTGGGGAGTACAAGCAATGTCCCCCCCTTTTAACCCTACTTGCTAAATAGGCCAAATAACTTCAGGAGGTTTGAATGTGAGGAATAAATAAAAGACCTATGTGAGCTTGGCTTGATGGTGAAGTGAGTGTGCTTATCTTTCAAGGAGCTCCCTTATCATCCTCCAGTGCCCAGGTAGAGTGCCCAGCTCATCTTTCTAGGTCCATCCCAAGGGCATTCATCTGTGTTTGCTTGGGACCCTTTACCTTTGTCCCCTGCATGGCTGAGCACCCGGCCTCACTCCCTACTCCCTTCTGGGTCCCACTGCTTACTTTCCTCTCACCACACCATGAAGGAAATGGGTCCACCCCTAGGTGGTACAAAGGATCACTACGAACCAGAGGTCCCACTGCTGGCCAAACCACACATCATTGTAGGGCAAAATCGAGGTCTTTCTTGGTTCTGGGATTTGTCAACACACCCTGCTGAACCAACTGTCTCCCTTTCTTCCCCAGAGTGGGCTCAACAGTGGACTAGTCCATGCCAAGGACTCTGTCATCAGCTTGAAGGAAAAGACCAGCTGGGTAAACCAGCACGTGCAGACCCTGCAGGTGTGAGGACCCCCTCCCCCCTCAACACTTCCTCTTCCTCCAGCTTAGCTGTTCCCCTTGCATAGAGCCTGCTTCCTATTCGGTGCATCCATAGCCCCACTGGGGAGCTGAGGCTCAGAAGGGAAAGGGGCCCCCCAGGCCCATACCCCCTCCCCATGGCCTGTCCCTGCTCCAGAGCGAATGTTCCCTGCTGAGCGAGAATCTAGAGAGAAGGCGGCAGGAGGCGGAGGAGCTGGAGGGGTACTGTAGCCAACTCAAGGTGAGAGGCTGGGGCAGGCGAGGGGGACAGAAAAGGCCAGGGAGGAGTGGGGGTGGGGAGATGGAGGGAAGCTCCCGACAGCCTAGCGGAAACCAGAGGCTAAGGGTCTCGAGGCGGAGCTGGAATGGGAAGGCAGGGACCCCACCTGGTGTCCTGACCCAGGAGAACTGCAAGAAGGTGACCCGCTCGGTGGAGGATGCTGAAATCAAAACGAACGTCTTGAAGCAGAACTCAGCCCTGTTGGAGGTAAAGATGGGGGTGGACTGCCAGAGATTTGAGGTACCGTGGCCCAATCTCGGGGTCCCTGGGGCGGCTCTGGTGGTGGAAGGGTTGCGGGAGGAAGAGGTTGGACGCTGTGACCCGCGCTTCTCCCCTGCCCAAGGAGAAGCTGCGATACCTCCAGCAGGAACTGCAGGACGAGACGCCGAGGCAGGAGGTCGAGATGCAGGAGCTGGAGCAGAAGCTGGAGGCCAGCCTCTCCCACTCCGGCCTCTCAGGAAACCCCGAAGAGGCCGCAAGGTTACGAAGCACGGCCCCAGGCGGCTGTGGAACTGGGCCCGGGGCGGGAGAAACGCCCCACACGAGCGAGCAGGAGCTGCAGAAGGTCTCAGCCAGCCTGGAGGACCTGAGGTAGGCGGGGCCTAGGAGTAGATTCTTCAGTGGAGGTGAACTCCGCCTGAGCGGTGGAGTCTCGAGGGCGGATGTGAGCCCAGGAGGCGCAGCTTTCGGGCTGGAGGAGGCAGGGCCTAGGGTGCAGCCCTTCGAGCTGAGATAGGCGGATCCTAGGAGTGCGAGTTGGAGCTGAGGTGGGCAGGGTCTGGGGTGGAGCCTGGAGGAGTTGCGGTGGGTGGGGCCAGGGGAGATACTTGAGGGGCCTGAGGGTAGACACTTGGGCTGAGGTGGGCGGGACCTAGATGTTGGAGAAGGAAAATCCTGGGGTTGGGCCTAATGGTAGGGTCTTGAAGAGCCCAAGAGGGAATGCTGTGGCAGTAGTGACCGGGCAGGAAGTAATTTTTTTTTTTTGGTACCGGGGTTCGAACTCAGGACCTTGCGCTTGTGAGCCAGGCGGCACAACCACTGAGCTAAATCCCCAGCCCCTCGAAGAAGTAATTTTTGAGTATGGCCACTGGGCTGAAAGTCTGAGGCTGGTGCAATTGAGGTGGTAGGGACTTGTAAGAGGGCAGGGCCCAAAGGGGCCAAGTTGAGCGGACAGGCCAGAGGGGAGTGGCGCCTCAGCGGCGTCAGCTGCGGGTAGCTGACAAGGGGATGGAGGCAGAGTTCTGGAGGGCGAGCGCAGATTTTCGCAAGTGGATGGCAGGAGAGATTTTGGAGACAAGTTGTGTCCAGAGCCCTGGACCACGGTCTTAGTGGGGTGGGGTCGATGGCAGCGTGACCACGCCCAGTCCCCACGTGTCCCGTCTCTCTGCCCCTCCAGGAGGGAGGTGTCCTCACTGGCCGCACGGTGGCATCAAGAGGAGGGGGCGGTGCAGGAAGCCCTGAGGCTGCTCGGGGGTCTGGGCGGAAGGCTCGACGGCTTCATGGGTCAGTGGGAGCGCGCGCAATGCGACCAGACGCAGACAGCGCGGAGCCTGCAGGAGCTGCGCAGACAGGCGGACCAGCTGTGCACCTTGTGAGGGCGGGGCCTGAGAGATGGGGTGGGGCCATCGGGGGCGGGGCCTAGAGGGAAAAGGGCGGGCCAGTCAGCTGGGCTGCGCCTTCTAGATGCATACTGAGGTATAGGAGCGCCAATTAGACAGCAGGCAGGGGCGTGCCACACACAATAAGGCAGGGGCTGGGGCCATTTAGGGAGGAGCTGTGTTCCATATAATAAAAAGAAAGGGGGCGGGGACAAAGGGAGTCCAGAAAAGCCAATTAGAGAGCACCGAATCCTAACCACTAGGCCACCAGGAAAGCTAAGAAAAACCAACTAGAGAACAGGATGAAAGCAGTCCAGATATTAAAATACAAACGGAGCTGGGCTTGGTGGCACACGCCTGTAATCCCAGTACTCTCAAGGCTGAGGCAGGAGAATCGCTGCCAAGTTAGAAGCCAGCCTGGACTACATGGCGAGACACTGTCTCAAAAAAAAAAAAATTAATAAATGAAATTAAATACAAACAGAGATTCTAATCAGAACTGAGAGGGACCAAGCGCGGTGGCACACGACAGCAAGTTCCAACCTGGCCTAGAAATTTAATGACTTAGTGAGACTCTGTCTCAAAAAATAATAATAAAAATGGAGGGAGGGGGCACTGGTGATGTAGCTCAGGCCAAAGGCCACGGGTTTAACTCCCAGTAAGAACAAAGAAAAGCCAGCAAGGTAGAATATTGAAGGCGTGACGGAGGCACAGTGCTGCGCTGGGGACGGGGGAAGCCTTGCCAGGACCTCGCAGCACCTGCTGCTCTCCTGCCACAGGGTGGAGCGCTCAGCAGTGTCTCTGGCTTCCCTGAGGAGCGAACTGGAGGGGCTGGGTCCGGTCAAACCAATTCTGGAGGAGCTGGCACGGCAGTTTCGGAACTCTCAAAGGGTACCTGACCACTCCATGAACCCGGATCGGTCGTCCCAAGGCTCCTGTGCTCGCTGTGCCAGGTACAGGGGAGCATTCTGGGTCACACTAAAGATAGTGCATTAAGGCGATGGGGCATTGGCAAGGGAAGGGGAGTGTGTTCTGGGAGCCAGGCTGTCCCATCCAAGGAAGGCCGGCCAGGCCCGCTGCACTATGAAAGCCACAGCTCTTCCCACCCACAAGGTAAGATGAGGGTCTTATGGACCTGGAGAGACTTGCTCCATTTGGAGCATTGTGCACTTCTGGCACATCTGGGGAAGGTGAGAATGTGGTCAGTGGCAGTAAGTGCTCAGGGTGTTGCAGGGAAAGTGAGGCATTGAGGCGTTGGAGGATAAAGGGATACCATGCTTAATTTGTTGCAGGTCCTCGGGATTGAACCCAAGGACTTCTCACTGAGCTACACCCCAGACCTTTTTTTATTTTATATTTTGAGACAGTGTCTCGCTAAGTTGCCTAGGCTGGGCTTGAACTTTCGATCTTCCTACCTCAGCCTCCCATAGGGCTAGGATTACAAATGTGTGCCACTATCCCCAGCTAAATGACAGCTTTAGATGGCCTTCAGAAAACAAGGGCTGTCTGGTGCCCTTTGAAAGGAGGAACCAAAGGACACCTGATGGGTAGTGGGAAGGTTGCAAGGGGTGAATAGTGGACCAGAGCCAAGTGGAGATTGGCAGGTGAGCATGGGGGATGTTGGGAATGGGGTTGATACTGAGCCTCTTTCATCCGGTGACCTCCCCATTCCAGCCAGGGACAGCAATTGTCCATGGAGTCCCTGCAGCATCTGTTGGAGCGAGCGCTGACCCCACTAGTGGATGAGGTGAAGCAGAGAAACCTGACGCCTCCTGCCTGTCCCAGCTGCCAGAGGCTACACAAGAAGATTCTGGTACCAGGGACCATGGGCTATCATGTGCTGCTTTACTTTTCTGGCAGGGCAGGGGCCAGGTAGCCTGGGCACAAGGGTACTGCCTGCATGTGGCAGGAAGGACAGGGCTGGGTTGAGCAGCAGGCATCAGCTTGGCTCTGATGCATGAGAGGAAGCAAGCAGCTTGGTGATTACTGAGTCAGAGGCCAATAATTCTGCAATTTGGTCAATATACTTGGACCAAAAACATGTTAGGACATTGGATCTGGTGCATTGTGGGACATGGATACAGATACCAGTCTTAAGGGTCATGGAACATGGGCCTGAGTTTTGTAGACCTTCAGAGAAACATTGCATTATTATGGAACTATTGAGGCTAGACAGGGGACCCAGTGACTGTAGGTCACAGTAAGCTGCATTATGAGAAATGGAAGCATAGCTTTTCTCGGGCATTGTACAATAGACTGAAGCCCAATGGCTGCTGGAACGTGAGTCCTGCTGCATTGTGGGACATGGAGATCCATTGTATTATGGGATATTGGCCTAAGAAATATTGGGATAGATGTGGTGGGTGAGACAGACAAGCAAGATAGCACAGAACACTGATGTGGCCAAATGACAGGCTAAATGCAGGGCTTGTTGCATTGTGGGATACAAAGGGGGTACTAAGGACTAGTTCTGTGAGAGATGCTGGTCTCAGACAAGGAGATGTGTGGTCTGGTGAATGGGAACACAAAGGTCATCATGTGGGGGGCAATCACACATCACGTACAGGATAGTTAATGGCACAAGAGAACAATACTAATAATTTATTGCTTCCTGGAGCAGACACAGGATCAGTGTATGATGGAATTTGGAAGCCCAGTGCATTATGGGAGGCCAGGCTCAGGCTCAGGCACAAGGCGTGATGGGAAACTCTGGCGTGGGATGCGGGCCCATGGGACCCTGCCTCTTGACCTCTGCGACCCAGCTCCCCCTCCACTCCCAGCCCAGTCCAGCAAGCCCAGCAGTGCCTACGCTCCTCTCCCCAGGAGCTGGAGCGCCAGGCCTTGGCCAAACACATCCGGGCAGAGGCCCTGAGCTCCACCCTTCGGCTGGCCCAAGACGAGGCCTTACGGGCCAAGAATCTGCTCCTGACAGACAAGATGAAGCCGGAGTGAGGAAGGAGGCAGAGGGCATGGGAGGAGGGTGAGGTCTTGGGATCGGGGCCTGGCCTCTCCTTCCACCACCCCCACCCCCAGGTGCCAAGGCCCCTAGCATCAACTCCCCTGCGCTGTCATTACAGGGAGAAGGTGGCCACCCTGGACTATCTCCATCTGAAGATGTGCTCCCTCCATGACCAGCTCAGCAACCTGCCACTTGAGGGCTCCACAGGGACAATGGGGGAAGGAAGCGGAGGGGCTGCCCCAAAATGTGGGAGCCCAGCCCCCAAACAATAAATAGCCTCTCTTGCTCTCATGAAACCTGGCTTTTTGCTGGCACCAACAGAAGGGGAATGAGCGGGACTAGGTGGCGCAGGCTTGTCATCCCAGCTACTCTGGAGGAGAATCGAAAGTTCAGAGTTAGCCTGGGTGGTTTAGTGGGACTGTCACAAAAAAAAAAGAGGGGGCTGGGGGTGTCACTGAGGAATAGAGCACTTACGTAGAATGTGTAAGGCCCTAGGATCCACCCCCAGCACTGCAATAAATAAAAAATAAATAAATAAATAAGCCAAGTGTGGTGGTGCACACCTGTAATCCCAGCACTTGGGAGGCTGAGGCAGGAGGATCACCTGAGTTTCAGGCCAGCATGCAGGGTGAGAAACAGACCACGAAGAAGGTGTCTGAGGCCTGCAAACTGAAGAACCAGAGGCTGAGGTCCAACAACAAAGCTCGGGCTGAGATTGAACAGTGCAGCTCCTGCAGAAGGAGGAAGAGTTCAAGTGCAGGGAAGCTCTGGCTCCTGATCCCATGGCAGCTGCAGCAGTGAAGTGGAGAAGGAGACCCAGGAGAAGACGGGCATCCTCTGATCTACACCTGGCAGAATTTGGAAGAAGTCCTAGACAACCTCTTCTCTGCGACATCCAGCCAGAAATCCATGGAAGCTATCACACTGATCTACATCTCCATCCCTACCCCACCCTCCTTTTTTGAGAGAGACAGAGTCTCGCTAACTGGTTAAACTTGTCCAGGCTGGGCTCAAACTTGTGATCCTCCTGCCTCAGCCTCAAAGAGTACTGGGATTATAGGCCTGTGCCACCAACACCCGGCTGCCCTCATGGAATCTGAACTTTTAGCAAAGTTGATCTCTGTTCTCATAAAAGACATTAAATTATTTCTATATGTTATATAGGAGGTCTCTTCACTTTCTGGAGAACAGCATATCTAGTTTTTTTGTATAAACAGTACAGTACTTACCCAAAGACTTCATCTTTTTGCCTCATATTTCTTAGAAATTGAATGAGTATGTGTTGTCTTTTAACTCAAGGGAACATGTATATCAATGTTGACTTTTTCTTTCTTAGATCTAGTAGGAAAAAAATTCTTTGGGGGGTAAAAGGGATTAAAGGTCAAGGGCTTGATCTATGAAAAGGTAGTAGTTATTTGTGACTGATGGGAAGCACCCACCAACCAACCTTACAGTGATCCACTCTGTTGAAGGGTTAGCACGGTGAATATTAGGATATCTGTTTGGGTTGTGCTTCATTTATGTAAATCAGAATTACTAGATGACAGGGCGCAAGAACTGGTTACATGTTATTATTTCGTCTTCTAAAGATCACTTAAAAGGAAATACCATACCTTGGGCTGGCCATGGTCACACACACCTGTGATTCCAGCACTCTGGAAGACTGAGGCAGGAGGATCAGAAGTTCGAGTCCCGCCTCCGGAGTACTGCAATCACAGGTGTGCACCACTGTGCCCAGCACAGTGTTCTCTCAGTAAGTGTGCCAGTGCACTCAAAAGCCACCACATGCCACTGGCCATTGGCCATTGTCGGTACCATAATGGTCATTTGTAGCAGCCATGTGATCCTCATATCTCAGTCCACACTGACAATAATGTGTGCTTATCTCTGAAGTCACTACATGCTCTGGCTTACTGGCACCCCATTTCTTACTGGGAAGAGCTCATCACTATATTTAAACCCACAACTGAACCAGACTATTCCCCAAAACCCATCTGTGAGAATATGCTTCCTGTTACAAGTGTCCGTGTCAGCCAGGGTCCACTCAGGAGAAACAAATCACACCAGCTATTCTAACAGAAATGATTGAATATAAGTTTATTTAGATATGAAGGGTTGGTAACTAAAAGATCCAGGTGTGATGGTTCATGCCTGTAATCCCAGCACTCTGGGAGTCTGAGACAGGAGGATCAGAAGTTTAAGCACAGCCCGGGCAATTTACTGACTTAGGGAGACCCTGTCTCAGAACAAAAAAATGGCTGAAGACATAGCTTAGTGTGAAGGCCTTGGCTTCAACCTCCAGTACTGCAAAAAGAAAGAAAAAAAGCAAAAAAGAAGCAACCCTATGGGGTTGAGGCAGGACAAAGAGAGGATGAAGGTGACAGTTACGGAAATTAAACACGTGGATGAGGGACCCAGTGGAGATGAACCAGAGAGCCCTTGGTGTGGGGACTCTGAACTCAGAGGACCAGCAGGGCCTGGAACCTTCTCAGGGAGGGCCCAGTGGTCTGGGGTCTCTGTGATGTGCACGATTGGAAAACCCAGAAGTTAAATTTAGCTGCTGCCATGGGAAGGCCCTGCTCCAACAGCCCTGGAAAAGAAGATTTGCTGGTGGGAAGAGGAAACCAACAGGAAGTAAGCAGAAAGCAAACAGGAGTTAGTCCTTCTTCCTTCTCTGAGTGGCTGCAGAGCCTAAGGTGCCCCCTATTGGCAGAGGCTGACAGTCACTTGAAGATGTGGATATGGGATTTTATAAGGTCCCAAAGTCCAACATGAGAAAGTGAATTTGAACCTGAGAGATAATAGCTTAATAACTGGCACACATAACAAGAGTTTGTGCCAAGGACTGGCCATGGTGACTAATCCAATTCTGTACCCCTGAGGCCCAGATACATATTTTTAAAGAGTACTTGCATATATTGAAAGATAAATTTTCCTGGTTAGCTCTTAGGAAAGCTCCTTTGAGTTCTACTTTTAATGCAAATTCAATCAAAATTCCATGGGGATCATTTTTTAAAGGATTTGACACAGTTATTCTGAAGGTTGTCTAAAGTAATAAATAGATAAATGAAACAAAGATTTTTTTCTTTACAGAAATGTAATAAGAAGGACCTGAAGCCAAGATATAAAAATATCAGGTAAACCAGGCATGGTGATGCATACCTATAATCTCAGCACTCTGGAAAGCTGAGGCAGAGGAACTGCAAGTTCAGGTCCAGCCTGGGCTACATACCAACTTAGCAAGACCCTGTCTCAAAATAAAAAATAAGGGACTGGGGATTTAGCTCAGTGGTTCCACCGCCTGCCTTGCAAGCTCAAGGTCCCAAGTTTGATCCCCGGTACCAAAGAAATAAAAAAAAAATAAATAAAAAGGGCTGGGAAAATAGCTCAGTGGAAGGTCCTAAGTTCAATTTCCAATACTACAAAATAAATAAAATATAAGGTAACACTAATCAGTGTGGTCCTGAAAGAATAGAATAACTACAAATACTTCATATATAAAAGTACTTGACAAATACGTCAGCATAAGGCAACTGAGAATAGTGAAATTATTCATAATAGACAGATATATACGAGAAAAGATGAAGACAGCTATCTACAAACCATTATACCTTCTTGGGGTGGGGATTTAGCACAGTGGTTCTGGCACCTGCCTTGCAAATGCAAGGTCCCGAGTTTGAACCCCGGTACCCAAAAGAAAAAAAAAATCCTGATTTGACCATTATACCTTCTTAAATTTTTTTTTCAAATTTTAAGACAGGATCTTAGTAAGTTGATAAGTTGCTCAGACTGGGCTCAAACTTGTGATCCTTTTGCCTTAACCTCCCAGAGTCCTGACATGACAGGTGTGTCCCACCATGCCAGCCCAGCAAGTTATACCCTTTTAAAAAAAATTCTTTTATTGGTACATTTTAGGTATACAATATGTTTATATTTATCATTGGGTGCTTGTACCTGTACATGATGTATCTTGGTTCTTATTTTTTTCCCCATTACCTGTGT